TTGCAGCTTCATGTCCTAAATATACTGAACTGCTTACATTTTTTTAAAAAAATATATGGTTTTATCATATTTCATATATGGTCATCCATCCATCCAACCATCCATCATTTAGTTTGTGATGATGAACCAGAAAAGGATAGACGATTCTGAAAGACTGAAACTTGTTACTGCAGGTTGCTTTAATGAATGAATTGTTGATTTATGAGGTCTGTAGAATTGTTTTGTAAAACAGCTGTCATAACAATATTATAAAAAACAAAATGCTTGCAGAAAAATAATTCTGTAGGTTTTAAAAATAGCAGCCCTATGTTTTATACCAATGTTAGGTCAAACCTAATGAGAGCTTAAGATATACACCCAGCCACAAAAAAACCCCCAAACCACTATATAGTATGGAATTTTTTCTGAACATCAAGGAGATGTACATTTTATTCTAATCCAAAAAGGACTCCTGTTTTTGAAGTAGTACAGTCAGTGGTTAGATAACAATTTTGATATTATATCTAAACAGAAAAAGCAAACATCTCTAGCTTTGTGTTCGTGTCTATTACTGCTTGCTATATTGGCAGAGAACCTCAAATATATTTTACATCTTGGTTTTATATTTGTAATTTAATCTATCTCTATCTATCTTATTGTGGCTTGGAATGTGAAGTTGAAAAACATTTTTAAGGCCCCATTCAACTAAAGTGACTGACGGGTAGACTTTCTACTAAGGCTGCTCATTCTGAATAAAAACAATGCTTCTCAATCTAAGTGTATTTGTTAAAAAGTCTGTGTAGTTTATTCCTCTGAAACCTCCACTGGATTACCTCCAGAAAGTTTCTCTCACATAATCTAAATTTTAAATGTACTGTCAATTATTTAGTCCCTCGATACTCAGAGGGCAGCCTGTTAGTTTATGCTGTATTATAATGTATTTTGAGAAGACCGCTTTATTTGAGATCCCTTCTGTTCATGTTAGAGAGTTGTGAGTTTAGAGCAGCATTTAAATTCTGTAAGTAAGTAAATAAATCAATAAAAAAATAATAGGATTAGGGTGGACTAACTAGTGCACTGTACAATAGAACTAATACCGGGCAAGTGTGAAACAAAAACTATGTTTTATTTCTGGCATGAAATAAATACATTGTGATTCAGAAATTAAATTGAACCATTCTAGGGAAGTCAAGATTCAGCCAAAATAAAACCTGAGTTATCTTAATTGTCCCGTATTTTAGATGAAACAAAATCCAAGAGGATCTTTTGGGGCAAGGCTATTTGCCTTCAGCTCATTTCTTCTTTTTTTATGGCCTGTTTAAATTCATGTGTGTTCTAATCCAAATCACCTATGGCTCCTCTCATCGGTTCCCCACACTGTTCCTATTTTCCCTTAGCAGATGCACATTGTTGATGTTCTTGCCTTTTTTCTACTGTTCTCCACTTTGGAAAATTTCTGCCCAGTGTGTTTATTTTTTCCAATTTATAAGCTGCCAATAGTCCTTGACAAAACATGTGCTTTGATCCAGAATATGCCACCTGAAAACTTGATGTTCTATGCATGGAATGATCCATGTAGGCAGTGTTTTGCACAACCTTAACTACTATCTCCAATGATCTAGATGCAATGGTTCTGATAAATCTAACCATATACAGTAGTTTTCCTAGGGGACAACACAGCTGTGGCTTGCTACTGCCCTCTGGCACCTTTCTAAATCCTCAGCCTAGCCTACAGTCATTGCATTTCCTGTTACCAACTAGGTCCACCCCTGATTAGCATTCTGGGATTAGCTAAGGTCATCTATTGTAGGTGCTGCAATTTTCTGTCAGACATTTTCATATTCATGTATATAATCAAATGTAAACTAATGAATTCCATTAAAACCTATGCTTTTAACAGGTTTGTTGATCTGCTTTTCATGTCAACGTTAGTATTGCATGGTGACAAAGACATCATTGCAGTTGACAATAGCAGCACCTGCTAAAGATCACAACCCTGCATGGACTCTCCGGAATTAGTCTTGCTACTCTCCCTTCCTTGCTACCAATACAGTGAGTCTTTCTGAGTTAACCAGTAATATCTGAAACATAATTTTGCTGCTTCTTCCAAATTCAGAGTGAGTATAGTAGGGAAGTATTTACATAATCACAAAGCGGGGAGATAGTAGTAATTGCATAACTCAGGGGTCTTCAAATTTGACAGCTTTAAGACTGTGGACTTCAACTCCCAGAATTCCTCCTCCAGTCATGTTACCTCAGGAATTCTGGGAGTTGAAGTCCACAAGTCTTAAACTTGCCAAGTTCGAAGACCCTTGACATAACTCTAGGACATTTTGTCCAAAGACTTCAATTAATATTTAAAGTATATCTAAAATTCAGATGCTGAAAACAAAGAAAATGGGTGGATTAGTGTCCTTCCATTTGTGAGTTTTCCCCAAGAAAACTGGTTGCTCATTGTTAATAGTATTTTTTTCTACCAGAGAGACACTTTATCGGATAATCTTTTCTTTACACAGATATAGGCTAAATATACAGTCTCAGACTATGGTTAGCAGATCAAATCTGAAGACAACCCCAATCTAAGTTGAGGTTTACAGTAATTTTTTAGCTTCAAAACTATTCTGGGGTAAGTATACATTGAATAATTTGATGTGATATCTGTGAAATTATTTAATTAGCTTTACTTGTAAACAAAAGGGGGCACTAAGTAGTTAATATGGAATATTATCAGTGGGAAGTAGCATTTACATTTTTCTTGACCGTCTGCCACTAAAGCAAGGTATTCATGTACTGCTGTTGGATGACTAACTTGCAAAATTGTTTCATTACAGCCCTCCACTGTTATCTAATCAGTAAAAATCTAGCTATGAAAACTCCTAGCTTAACCAGAGAGAATTCTTATGGATTAAAAAGTGTGGAAGAATATCACTTTACTGAAAAGAAAAAAGAAAAAAAAGGAAAAGAAAACTGCCTGTTAAAACAGCAATGATAAAAAGGTGTATTGCTTAACCACACAATAGGAACATTCATTTGCAACCCCAAACAGAAGCACGTTCTATTTACCCGAGTTCAGTCTGAAATCAGACTCTGGATCTGATTTTCAATGCTGGGACAATCCTGGTACATGTGAAAAAGAAAATGTTTCCTAGCATATTAAAATACATAATCCTCATTCGTTGGGGTAAGCAGGTCACATCCAAGATTTTAAAATATGGTTTCCAGAGAGCAATTTCCAGGGATTTTGATTCTCCACTCAGTGTAGCAAGTATCATGACATTTCAAAGTACAACAGCTCTGCATGTCTTTGAGTAAGAAGATGATAAACCATCATATAAATAAGGCCACAATCAAGTTAGTTTCCATGCTGACCATAAGGAGTAAAAAACGTGCAGAAACCCAGGGAGACTACCATCTTGGAATAACAACAACAACAACAATAATGATAATAATGATAATAATGATGATAATAATAATAATAATGAATCAGCCATAATGATAGAGGAGAGGCAAGGTTAAAGGAAGTCTCCTCCAAACCTATATACGAAGCAATTGCCCTAAAAAAACCCAAAATGGTTACATGTAAAGAATCTGCAAACAGAATTTACTCAATCCTGGTTTATGCCAGCATGGAACACACTAGCAGCTATTTCAAACTTGGAAGTTTTCTGACAGAAAATGCTCAGAAAAGTCTATATATAGGTTCTCTGTCTTTAGGTTCTGCAGACCCTGCTTTCCTGAGAAAAACATCAGACTCTGAACAGAAAATACTGGCCAATCTCTTTGTATTTTACCTACTTGTGCACAAATTGATTTACAGTTAAACAATATCAACACAGATTTGTTTACTTCTGATCAAATCAGCTTTCTTGTGAATTAAACCAGTTATTTTTGTTTAGGTAAAAAACAGCACTGTGCTTAGCCTCTAACAAAAAGTTACAACTGCTGGAGGAAAACACATGCTACAATTCATGACATCAGGCACCTAAAATGTATAGCTGGTACATGAAGTGCTCTCAGCGACATCATCAGAAATGTTCTGCATTTATATCAGGGAAAAAAAAACAGTACAAGATGTCCCAGCATAGTAAATGTGGGTGAGATAAACCTGCTATCAGGAGCTTAACTAGTGTCCTTCTTTAGGGCTGTTACTAATAATTATAACATTCCACCCTTCAGTCAGCACTTGATTATAAACAGGAAAAGCATTGGGAAGACAGAGAACCCCAAGTTCTCCAGTATAAGAATGTTCAAGTTAATGGCCATTATAAATCACAACAAAATTAATTTGGCATGGCACACTACTTCTGACTTTTAACTATGCCTTGTGAAAGTTGAGTACCAGATACTTCTTAAGCTCTACAAAGTCATAGGTTCTGCCAGCACATAAAACTCAGGCATGTGAGAACACAACCAGTTATTTGGGGGAGTAAGAAAACTACTGGGCGTCTCCCTTCTTTTTCCAGACAGGAGAGTAGGTGGCTGAAGTGAAGGTGCTGAGGGATTATGTCGCCATCTTGTACAAGTAGTAAGAACATTACTGTTGCAATACAGAAAAGACAGAAAGATGAAGGAATCCTAAAATAACATCATCAGTACATGCTGCTCTCTGCCCTATCGAAAGAACACCAGCCTAAAAACCTTGGGTGAACTCACATTCATTGTATAATAGGCTAGATGGCAACAGTCTGATGATTTTTTTAATTTATTTTAAAAGAGTTGTAAGGGCACCCATTTAAAACACAACTCTGGTTGCTCAGAATAATAAAACTCAAAACAATAAAAACCATAACCCCAAGTCCCAGCATCACAAACATTCCCCCACAATACCTGCCCCCCACAACCAACTCCAGATGTACTCATTCTACCCCAGAACCTGAGTTAAAAAGCCAGGTCCTGATGGCCTTCCAAAAGATTAAAAGGTGGGGTTTTCTGGGTCACCCAAAGATTTTATTTATTATTGTTATCATGAACAATAGTGCTCAAGTGAGTAGTCAAAATGAGACTTAAAATATAATACATACCGTAGTATCCACAGCAGAGATTTTCTTGACAGGAATATGATTTGGTGTTGGTTCCTCTTTGGAGACTACCACACAACCCTCTGGTCCCAAAGTTATGATGGCAGTCCTACAGCCTCTCTCTAACAATTTAAGTCCAACTTGTCCAGCATCTCCAGCATTACCAACTGCAATTCCTGTTAGAATTTCTGCCTTGAAGGGAACATTAAAGCCAAATATTTAAGCAAGCAAGCAAAATGTAGCTGAATAGCAACAGCATCTAAAAAAAAACATACTAAAATGATAAAGCTGATCAACAATCAGCTCTACAAAGTAAATATATAAATATTTTTAATATCAGGCAGAGATATTAAAGATACTAGAAAGCAGGCATGCCTAATTGCAATGGAAAAATAAAAATATCAGAATTTTGTTTCCTCTGGACTACTGGACTTGGTAGCTGTTATCTTTAGAAATGGACATGGATTGCCTAATTGGTTCCATAGGGCAAATTCCCAAATAATTCCTTGGGCTCTCCTTGGGGTATTGATGAAATACATCATTATTACTTTCATGACATTGACTGACTCAGGTTCATGATAACAATCCATTTAGGTAAGTTTCGTAATGTTAATATGAACACGTACATTTGGCAAAGTTCTGACAGAGTGAAGCTTTCCATTTAGTGAATGAAAGCACATTTGTAATATGCCAACAGGCTATATTTTTAGATATAGATAATATTATGACATTATTACAACATTATTATGAAGCTGTTAAACATCTATAATAGGGGTTCTCAAAGAGTTGTATTACAAGGCTCTCAATCAAGAGAGGTAAGAGTTTTACCCCTGCTTTGCCTAATGGGCTGATTTGAACAGCAACTTCTGGGAAACCATTCTTGGGGTTTTCTCTTGTCTCATGTATCCCAAGTGGAGGTAAATTTTTCCCCACCCTTCCTGCCAATTTTCTTGGAGGCAGTTCTACAAAACAATACTCTAGAATTACAGAAAACAGTATGTTGCTTCTGACTTAAAGGGGAATAGCACGACCTATTACCCACTTGATTCTATACAGACAGTCCTCACTTAATGACTATTCATTCAGTTCAAAATCACAGCAGTGCTAAAAAAGGAAACACGCAACTAGTCCTCGAAATTCCATTTGTTATGCCACCCATGCAGTCATGCAAACATTGAAAGCTGACTCACACGATAGTTGCAGCATCCCATAGTCATGTGATCACCATTTGGAAGCTTCCCTTCCCGCTTCCCCTAAGTAAAATCAATGAGGAAGCCAGCAGAGAATGTCACAAACTGTTTTAGTAAATTGCTTGCACCCTCTCCCACCTGGCATGCCATGCTCTGGCCCTGCCATGCTCACACAGGCTGTTTGTGCAACCTCCTTTGCCTGGCAACTGCAACTCCCAGTCCCGCCGTACTCCGTGTTTTACCTGTCTACCAGGCTGCTTTACAAAGGCTTCTGGGACTTACTTAATAACACAGAATTCTTGTTTTAAAAAGCAGTGGGGAGTGTTAGGATTGCTATCACTAAGCAATGCAGTTACGTGACATTGTACTTTATGACTGCATAGCTTAGCGATGGAAATTCCGGTCCCAATTACCACTGGACTACCAGAATCAGGGGATGGGTGAGAATGTATGTTTAAAAGGGAAGTTTTGAGTGTGTTAGAGGTAGCAAGAAATGTTTACAAAGGGATGTTGTTTTGAAGGGGGTCTAAACAATTTTTTGGGAATTTAATTTGTTGAGCCATTTGTGCTTTCAATGTCTGTTTTTAAATACAATGCAAGTCTAGTACAGGTAATCCTTGACTCATAATAGTTTATTTAGTGACCAAAGTTACAAAGGCACCGAAAAAGTGATTTATGACTGCTTTTCATATTTACGACCGTTGCAGCATCCCCATGATCTTATGATCAAAATTCGAATGCTTGGCAATCGACTCATAATGGTTACGGTATCCTGGGGTCATGTGATCGATCACCTTTTGCAACTTTCTGACAAGCAAAATCAACGGGAAAGCCAGATTCACTTACTAACCGTGCTAGTAACTTAACAACTGTAGCAAGAAAAGTTGTAAAATGGGGCAAAACTCACTTAGAAAGAGAAATTCATTCAGCTTTGTTTGGGTATTTTCCCACGTCATTGTAGTTGTACTTTTAAAGTTGTAGCAACGTTTCGGCAGAATCTCATCTGCCATCATCAGGCTTCTGTGTACAGAACAAAGCTGAATGCCATACATGTAAGTACCTGCGAAAACTTAAGAAAACATATGACACAACCAGAAGCCTGATGATGGCAGATATATATATATATATATATCTGCCATCATCAG